TTTGGGACGCACCTTTGGCCTCTGGGCCCCGCGGCAGCAGCGTGGGGCTGCACCACAGCATTGTGTTCCACACAGGCTAAGAGCATCCGGAGCCTGAATGAAAGCCTCCTGGAGCTACTGCAGGATGCAGACACAGACACGGTTCAGATGACTCTCTCTGTGTTCATCAATGTGCTGGGCTTGAAATCGTCAAAATATCCAGCCCAATGCCCTGAAGTTGCTTGAGGCGCTGCGGCCACTCTTTGACAATGTAAGGCTCTGTGCCCCTCATCGTGGGCACTGAGTGCTGCCAGGAAACTTTGGGCCCAGTGTCTTTTCAGGCCTGTGCCCCGGTGGGCCTGGAGAAGCCAGTGCTGAGGTCTTTTCCTCTTCCTTTGCACCAGGAGCACAGCCAGCTGCAGCAGCTCTCCATGCTCCTCTTCCGGGAGCTGATGGAGGCGACAGAGAGGAGCAAGAGCCTAAAGCCACACGTGTACCTGAGTCTGGTGCCATTCTACTTCAACTGGCACAATGAGAACCAGCGTGTGGCAGAGGTGAGGACTCGTGGGCTCTGGTGTCCCCATGGCAGGAGGCTGCTGTGCCTCCTGCCCTGGCCCATGGTCGCCTGCAGCCTCCTCCTGGCCTTGGCACAGGGATGTGGGTGCTGTGCCCTGGGCTGCGGTGCCATGGCCCGCTCTCTGTTGCTGTGCAGGCCTCTCGGAGAGCACTGTTTGGTGCAGCCAAGTTCCTGAAGTGGAGGGATCTTGAGAACTTGGTGACCATGGAGCAGCCATGGAGGTTTCCCTGGAGTGCCTGGTAAGGATGGCCCCAAAGCCCCAGCCCCTGGCTCCCGGCTCCCCAGGAGCACCCAGCCCTCTGCTCCCCCCAAACCCGGCCCCAGCAGTTGCTGGCCAGGCCTCAGGGCTCTGTGGGCAGGGGAGCCCCGTGCTGGGGGCAGGGAGCGCCCGGCCAAGGGGCAGAGCCTGAGCCGAGCCTTCCCTCCGTGCCCTGGCGCTCTTTGCAGCTGGAAAAGGACAGGAGCCGAGTGGGCCAGTACGTGCGCCAGGCCCTGCCGTTCCTGGAGAGCCCAGAGGAGCCCCTGCGAAAGCTGGCCATCAAGTTTCTGGGTGAGCCACAAGGCCGGGGTCCCTCCCCGCCCCGCTGCAGCTCGGCCCCAGCCCCGGCTGCTGCAGCGGCAGCAGGATGCGGCCCAGGGCATGTGGAGCCCCGAGTGGCCTGGTGCCTGCTGCCGCCCTGTGCCAGCCCAGCCCTGGGGCGTCCCCATGCGGGAAGGCCCCGGGCTCAGCCCTGCCAGGGCAGGAGGCCGTGTGGCCGGGCTGGCAGCGCCGCTGCGGGGGACCTGTGCCTCTGGGGCCTGACAGGCTCTGTGTTCCCAGGGATCGCCGCCAGGTCCATGAAGCAGGAGCAGCCAGAGCTGCAGCTCATCTGCCAAGGTGAGCGAGGGCACCTTCCATCTGATCCCCTTGGGCCCTGCTCCCTCCTGGCCATGGCAAGAGCTGGCTGGGATGGCCCTGGCAGGAGGGGCTCCTCGCGTCCCCACACCCCTGGCCTCTCACCTTGGCTCTCTTCCTTTCTCTTTCAGCCCTTCAAGGCATCACTGATGACAGCCCTGCCGTCTCAGACCTGGCCTGTCAAACGCTCCACATCATCAGAGCTGTACGGAGAACTTCATTCTTCCCATTCTGGTAGTCTCCGTTGCTGCCTCTTCCAGCCTGTAGAGACATGACAGAAGACATCAGACTCGCCATGGCAGGCCTGGCAATTCAACACTGCTACATGCCAAGAGCAGTACAGATGGCTCCCTACTGCAGATTCCAGCAGCTCCAAGACTGGCTGTGCAGGGCATGGAAGACCTGGCCTTTTCCACAGGGCAGTGTCTGCCTGTGCTGCTGCAGCTCTGTGGGGAACTGATGCAGGAAGCTCCATCTCCTGGGGCCACCTGAGCCTGTGGGGAAGATGCCTCTTCCCTGCAAGCACCTCCTTTGAGCCCAGCATGGGAATATTACATCCATGTTATCACACACAGAAGCCCAGGAGGTTTTTTTGGTGCCCAGTGTGCACAGGGCCTTGGGGAAGTGGGGAAAAGGGCTCCCCGTGCTCAGCAACACTTGCCCCGCTGTGCAGCGTGCCAGCAAAAGAGCAGCAGGGGAGGGGGCGCTGGGAGGCCAGGAAGGGGTGAGGTGCTGTGGAGGCCCTGATGGGACAAGGGAGCAGGAAGCCTTGAGGGGAATCTGTGAGGGGGTGGGTGGCAGAAGGCTGTGAGGGGACAGACTGGGAGCAGGCCCCAAGGGGCAGGGTGGAGGGAAAAGCCCCCAGGACTTGGGGGGCAGAGGCCATAAGCAGCCCCCAGGCAGCCACCTCCTTCCCTGCCAGCCGGCTGCTCTGGTGCTTTCCCAAGGCCTCTCCCAGCCCTGTGGCAGAAGCCCTGGAGGCCAGGCCTCAGCAGCAGGGTGGGCACATCCCCAAGGTGGCCAGGCTGGCCTGGCTGGGGACAAGGAGGGCAAGGGGGCCCTGCCGGGGCACGTCTGCCGGGTGCTGCCAGCGAGGGGCAGTGGCACAGGCAGGGCTGGCGGCCAGCCCGGGCCCCCACGGCTGCCCAGGCCACGGGGCTGTGGCCAACACCCCCCTGAGCCAGAGCTCTGGGCCCACAGAGCTGCTGCCACCACGGGCAGGGCACTGGGCTCCTCGGGCAGGCCTGTGCACTCGCTGCTGCCCAAGCGGCTCCGCCCCACAGACAACAGCACCAGAGGCTGCCCAGGAGCAGCAGCACCCACAACGCCTGGGCCTCCTCACCCAGGCACCCACACCCGCCAGGACATCAAAAATGGGCAGACTGTGGGCACAGTTGCACCCGCTTTGGCAAAAGGCTTCAGGGCAAGTGGCCACCACAGCTTTCCAGTGACTCCCCAGCCTCACAGCAACCCTTGGCAGCTTCAGCTGCAGCCTGACATCCTGACTGACTTCAGTGGCCCTGCTTGAGGCTGGACACACCTTCCACACTCAGGTGTCCCCAGCCAGTGCCACTGGTGCTATCCTCAGAGACTCTGCTGGGACACCAGCCTCAGGCTGCAGCTGCTCAACCTCTCCTCCACGCAGGCACCTTCAAAACATGGGCATGGGCTTCTAAACTCTATGTCCAGCACTTGAGGGCAACAAGGGGCACAGCTCTTTGGGGCAGGAGACGGGCAGCAGCCTTGCCAGGACTTGGGGTGATGGCAGGTCTCCTTCGGAAAGGACTTACCAGGCTGTCCCTAAGAATCCTGGGAGTAGGCAGGGAATGCTGAGCAGATCAAGCCCTGCCCGGATGTCCCATCGGGAAGACACTGTTCTAGGGGGAATTCACTGTCTCTACTAACTCTTACTGACTGGCTTAATGACTCAGCCATGGTGTGTCCCTGTCACTCAGATGCCTTCTTGGCCCCACCTGACGTTGTGATTCATGTGACTGACAATACCTTTAACATCCCTGTAAGTGATCCTTGTTATTTTAGTTGTAGCACAGATCAAAACGTATCTACCCTCCATTTATCATTAATAATTCCCATGGGCAGAAGAGCCAAACTGGGGCTCCCAGGGAAGCAGAAGCTGGGAGGATGATGCAGGATACAGTGAATTAAGGAAACTGTAAAATCCAGAAATCCTCAGTGGGTGGCTGATTGCTTGGATCATCTCTGCAGCAATCCCGGCAGCTGCCGCAGCCACAGCTCCTGCTGCACTGGCCATTCAGTGCAGGCCATGCCTGCAGGGCCAGTGTGTGGGCACTGTGGCAGCATCAGGAGCAGGGGTTCAGAATCTGCCTGGTTTCAATATTCCAAGTCCTCAGGAAGTACATGGGACAAGCCCCAAGACAAGGAGCCCGGGTCCTGGCCCTCTTGGCCGTGAACTCTGCGTGTCCAAACAAAACAGGGGCAGAGGTGGGACCAAGCGGAGTCACTCTGCACCTGCCCTGAGTTCATGGGAATGCAAAGGGAGGATGGACCTTGGCTGAGTGCTTGGAGAGAGAGAAGGTTGTTTCTCCAAGTGGAAATGCTCTTTAACCAGCCTGCATGACCAGCCTGTGTTTTTCTCTGGTGGCTGAACACAGCCAGCACATGAGGGGAGGGGAATGTGTGGGATCAGGGCACTGCTTTGGGGCCATGCTGGGAATTCTGGTGGACTAAAAGACAAACACGGGGTGCTGCTCATGAGAGAAGAGGAATAAAAGGGGACACGGAAAAATGTCAGCGGACAAGTCCCGCAATGGAACTCTGTGTGTGCAGCCTCATTTTCTCCCTCAGCATCCACAAGAGAGGAGGCAAAAAGTAGTGTTTGGGACCCCAAAACTTTCTTGGGGGGGGAAACTGGGGATTGAGGGAACAATGGGAAAGTGGGAGGAACAGGGAGAAGGGTAGAAAAGGGGGGATTGTCTGGTAGGTCCGATGGCCCCATGGGGGTCTTTGGGCACAGGAGGGGTTGGAAAAGAGGGGGTGCCCCCCCTGAGCTCCCAACTTACTGTGAGGTGTTGGGGGCTGCTGAATCCAATCTCAGAGTTGGATTATGCCAACAGTTTCAGTTTAGAGGAATTACAGAGGTGTGACTGAACCACTTTTGTCCCCCAGCTTTTAACGATGGCAAATGTATCTACTGATCTATTGATCTATTGATAAAAAGGAATTTATTTAGGGTTCCAAATGATCAAACAAAGGATCTTCATCAGAATTATTTACTGCACAATACAAACACTAAAACTACCAGGAGTACAGGATAAGATAAGACAGTGTTCTACCCTAAAGAAATTGTTGAAGAAATTCTACTAAATTTGGCTTAAAAGCAATAGTTCTTAATTTGAGATGGATGTAACTCCCCCTCCAGCAGTGACCTTGGTGGGGCCCCAGCCAAGGCAGGAAACTCCACACACCCCCAAGAAGGGTTCTGTTGGAAGAACCTACCCCTGTGAAAGGGGTTGAAAGGGATGGACTGACAGTCACTGCACTCCAGATGTTGCCTCAACATCAGGGGGTTTATTCAGGGTGGAAGCAGCGGCTGAAGCTCTTCCCACAGTCAGGGCAGTTGTAGGGCTTCCCTTACTGGTGGGTCTGTTGGTGTCTGTTCAAGGTTGAGCTGTGGGAGAAGCTCTTCCCACACTCCCCACACTTGTAGGGCTTCTCCCCGGTGTGGATGCGCCGGTGGGTGATGAGGTGGGAGTTCCGGTTGAAGCCCTTCCCGCAGTCGGTGCAGCGGAAGGGCCTCTCATCCGTGTGCGTCCGCTGGTGCACAAGGAGATTGGAGCTGGTCTGAAACCTCTTCCCACATTCCAAGCACATGTAGGGCTGTTCCCCAGAGTGGATGCGCTGGTGTCGGATCAGGTCAGAGCTGTCCCTGAAACTATTCCCACATTCCCCACACGAGTAGGGTCGTTCCCCAGTGTGGATGCGCTGGTGTCGGATCAGGCTGGAGCTGTCCCTGAAGCTCTTCCCACATACCCTACATGTGTAGGGCCGTTCCCCAGTGTGGATGTGCTGGTGGGTGAGGAGGTTGGAGCTTTTCCTGAAGCTCTTCCCACATTCCAAGCACCTGAAGGGCTTCTCCCTGCTTGGAGGCTGCTCAGGGACCACCAGGTCATTGCTCTGGTTCAAGCTCTGGCCACCTTCCCAGCACAGGCTGGCTCTTTCCTCCTCAGAGCACCCTGGGCTGGCTTTGGAGCCCCTCCTGCGGGGGGATCTCCGGCCCTTTTCCTCCCCGCTGCCTTCCTGCGCCGGGGAGCCCTTCAAAACGGCCTCTCCCACCAGGGTCTCACGGGGGGATTTGTCCTCCGGGCTCTCCGTCCTCAGCTCGGGGCCTGGGGCAGGAAGCAAGAAGGACAGGCAGGGGATTTGCCTCCGGCCCACAGGGAAGGCCAAGGACATCCCCCCAGCTCCGGCCCCGGCAGGACGGCGGCGCCAGTGGGGTTGTCCTGCAGCCGGGGCCATGCTGGGCTGACAGAGCCAGCACAACACCCGCCCAAAGGGACACTGACTTCCTCCTCACCTGCCTGGGGGGCCCAAGGCATCTTCCTCTTCCTCGCAGCCTCCTCCTCCATCCGACCAAGCTTTGGGAAGCAGAAATCCTGCTGGGGGGGAAAACAAGGGCTGAGCGCGTTGGCTTGGGGGTTCCTCCTGCCCAAGTCCATCTCTAGAACTCACCGGGCATCCTGTGACCATAAAAACCTCCAAAACACCAAGATTCAGTCCAGAAAAACCCAAACCACTGAGATTTAAGCAGATTCAGCCCAAAAAAATGTGTTTAATTGGGAGGATGATGGAAGTGAAGTCATTTCATGAGCACTTGATTGAGTTGCTATATTCTAATCAAAAGCTGTATTAATGTAGTGTCATTTAAAACTTTCCAGGGCTGTTCCTCGAGGTTCTCTGGCCCCCTGCCAGTTCAAGGCTGTTTGTTTCTCCAAACCACCAAACCAAGGGTGCCAAACGCCCTGGTTGGTCAGTGCCGGCTGGGGGAGTGGGCACTCGGTGAGGGGATGAGAAAATTGCACCCAGGGCTGGGCTGAAAGAGGCTTCAGCACCACTTCTGATGGCCCAGGGGCAGCATCTGGCTTCTCCCAAACAGAGAGATGGCACTTGTTCCTCTGCAGGGAGTCAAGGGGAGGAGGGTGACTCCTGCTGCATGGATGGAACAGCAGAGGATCCCTTGGGTCCCCAGGATGGATCAGCACTCAGGGACTCAAACTGCCTTTGGGCTCAGGATGCAGCTGCCAGCACAGATTTCACTGCAAAGTCTGCAGTGAGTCAAGCTCTGGAGAGGAGATTGTGCCCCATGGATGGGGTTGCGGAGGTTCCCTCAGGTCCCCAGTAGGATTTAGCAACCAGGAATAGACACAAAAGGTCCCCCTGAAAATTTCAGGGAGACTGTCTTGTAGGGAGGGAACAGTGTCACCCCACCAGGGCAGGGCTGGCAAGTGGGAGGCTGCTCCAGGGCTCTGCAAGAGGCCTCGTGCTCTGCTCGGCCCCAGCACTGCCTGGTACCAACACCCCCGGCTGCCCCCGGCCCTGGGCAGCTCTGCTGCCACAGGCTGTGCCCTCACCGTGGCCCTGCAATGGCCCTGCCTGTCCCTCACCCGGGGCCCTGCCCGTGGCCCTGTCCCTTGGCTCTCTCTCTGCCAGCTCAGTGTGGGGCACACGGGCTGGGGGTCCCTCCCAAGCCCCCCGGGCAGCCGGCGTTGGCTGGGGGGATGTGAGGGCTGGGCCTGCTCAGCACAGCCCCGGCCTCGTGCCCAGCGCCTCTTTCCTGCCCCACACAAGAGCTTCCCGGCCCCCCAGGGCTCCCCTGCTGCTGCCTCTGCTCCTGGCCCTGCCTTTGCTGCTCCCTTGGCTGGGGCAGCGGCTGCAGGGGGGGATGGCAGCAGCTTCAGCTCCACGGCACTTCCTGGGGGGAGCTCAGCCCGGGGGGACGGGCAGGGACCTGATGGGGATGGACAGGGGCCCAGCAGGGACAGCCAGGGCCTGCAGGGGAAGGCACAGGGACAACCTGGCCCCCCACACTGCCAGGGCTGTCTCTGCTCCTCCTTGCAGGCTCCGTGGCCAGGCACAGTTTGTGTTCCTGGGTGCCCACCATCTCAGCACTTGGAGACGCTCAAATCAGCGCCCGCAGCTCTGCAGCAAAGCCCCAGCTCACCTGGCACACAGGGGATGGACACAGCACCTGCTCGGGGATGGGCACTCACAGCTTTGTTTCTTCCCCACCACGGGGCTCTCCTTCCTCAGCAGCACCTCTGCCTTGCACTTATTCTCAGCCTCACCTCAGGGACAGCTCTGGGCTCACCTCCGCGCCACTTCTCAGCCTCACCTCAGGGCCTGGGCTCAAGGACAGGAACCTGCAGGGAGGGGACATCAGGTGCAAGCTCAGGGCTGCCTGCTTGCACTGGCCTCTGGGCTTCTTTCTCCTTCTACAACCAGCCCACAACTCAGCCTGCTTTTCTAACACCACACATTTACAGACTAACCTTGGAGATAGATATGGACAGACATCTCTATCACCCTGGGGATGGAGCCTCAAGCATGTGCTGCCATAGGAATGGCAATCAGAGAATCACAGAATCAGCCACGTTGGAAAAGACCTCCGAGATCATCAAGTCCAACCCTGGATCCAACCCCGCTGTGCTTCCCAGACCATGGCACTGATGCCACATCCACTCTCACCTTCAACACCTCCAGGGACGCTGACTCCACCCCCTCCCTGCCCAGCCCATTCCAAGGCCTGATTACTCTCTCAGCAAAAAATTGCTTCCTAATATCCAACCTAAACCTCCCCTGGCACAGCTCAAGACCCAGCCCTCTTGTCCTACTGCTGCTTCCTGGCAGAACAGCCCCACCCCCACCTGGCTCCAACCTCCTGGCAGGGACTTGCAGACAGTCAGGAGGGCTCCCCTGAGCCTCCTCTTCTCCAGCCTCAACACCCCCAGCTCCCTCAGCCTCTCCTCACACCACTTGTGCTCCA